TGGAGAGGGAAAAAAAACCCTGTTCTTCCAATGGAGCCGCAGGGCGGCCGGCGGGTCCACAGCTGGGGCTGGTGGCTCTCGAAGTCGTGTCTCAGTGGATCCTGCGAGGGCCGAGCTTGTCGGGTCCTAGTGGGGGTCGAGCAGGGTGCCTGGAGGGCCGGGTGGGTAGCGGCCCTAGGCACGGGGTAAACGGGTCAGGGCCAGCCGGGCAGCTGTGGGGCGGGCGGGCGGTGGCCCAGCCTCGGGGCGCTCAGGGCTGCTGTGCTGCTCCGCCAGGACAGGGATTGCCTGGCAGGGGGGGGGGGGGGGGGGGGGGGGGTGGCGATGGCGACGGCTATTGTCCACGGGCTTCGGGCGACCTGCGCCGCGGGTTGTGGCGGGGCTGGCAAGAGGGGGGATGGGGGAAGCGCCGCAGTCACACCAACCAGCTAAGAGGGCCCCATGCCCAGCGAGGGGTGTCGGCCTTCGAAGTCTACCAGGGAGGCCCGGGTCCCCGCGGGGGCTTCCTGTCTGCCCACTCTCACTCCCACTCGGGTGATGTGACCAGAAGTCAGGGTCTGATGTACGTGGATAGGACTTGTGACCAAGGTATATAGCGATCCGTGCAGTGGCGGTCTGGCGGGACTTGGGGATGCCACGGAGAGAAAGCCTTCACCCTTCTGAGTTCAACTTGCAGGTCCGGGCGGCCTGGCACAGCTGGGGACCGGGACACAACAGGAAAGCATTGCCAAAGAGCCCTTCCCTCAGGCTTCCTCACCATAAAAAGCCAGACTCCTGAAGAGGTCCTGACCCCTTCCAAATATACATCCTCCATCCTAGGCCCGCCGTTCTAGGGGGGGTGCAACTTCCTCCTCCCATCTGGATGGGCCCGCGCCTCCCTCGTGGTCGGGGTCCTACCAGGCCTGCCCTAATGCTCTGGGCATCTGGCCTGCTGCTGGCTTGCCTGTGGGCTTGGGACTTCTAAGGCAAAAGTAGGGCTAGGGCAGCCGAGGTTGAGGGTTTTAGTGTTTTCTAGGCGACAGGTCTTCAACACCTCTTCGCCTCTTCACTCCAGCCTTTACCCACGCAGGGGAGAATGACTACCAGGTCTTGGAGCTGGCCCAGGGACACGGTGGCCCGGGCGGAGGCGCACAGAGCGCCCTGGCAGATCCGGAGGGAACTCCCTGCCCAGGGCCCAGGAACTCGCCCGCCCGTCTGCCGCGGCCCGCGGGTCCTCAGTCCCTGGCTTGTGCTGCGCGCGCACCTGCGGGCGCCTTGGTCCTGAATTCCGCGGGCAGCCTAGACGAGGGCCTTGGACTCCGAAGGCAGGGGGAGCATGAGCCTAGCCATAGACAGCGGGGCCCCAGTCGGACCAACAAGGTCAGCCTCCCTCTGAGAGCTCTTGCGGGGCCTGGGGGGGCGGGTGTTGGGGGCTGGGTGAAGGGGAGTCGGTAGGGGGGAGTCGCAGAGGTGGGGTGGGCGCTCCGTCCCCTGAAGAGGGACTTTGGGGATGGAAATGCTTTTCGGCGCCGCCGCCAGCAGCCCAGCCATTCTGGCCTCAGGTAACAGCGGTTACCCCAGAGGCGCTGGTTATGAGGTGCCTTAGGCGGCCCAGCGACAGCTAAATTTTAGACCAGGCCAGTTCCCCGCGAGGGCAACTCCTTCGAAGGCCCACCCTCAGAAAGACTGTGGTTGTGGGAACTGGAAGCGAGGCGGAAGGTTGTGGGGGGCGCCAAAAAGGAAACTCTCTCCAGTAAACTGGGCCTGACTGTGTGTTTGCAAGGGGAACTTCGGACAGTGGAATGCTCTGGTTCCTGCGAGTGGGCCAGAGGAACCCCATTCTGGTCCCCATCCCCGCGGTGGCGTTTCAGTTGTCGCTGTCGTTTGTTCAAATTCTAGACACCGCAGAGACAGAGCCCAACATCTCTGGCCATGCCGGAGGTGGTAGGTTGGGATGTGTTGAACTGTTTGAGAAGCAAGTTCCACGAGCTAGCAGACACCCAGTGTTTTTGTGGAACCTGAGCGGGAGCTTTCGCTGGCCCCCAAATCTTTGGCTGCCATCCACCTACTTTCAAGACAGGGACAGGGCTGCAAGCTCCTAGAAGAGTTGGCTTGCTCCACTTGGATTCCTTGGGGGTGAGTGTGGTGGTCACATCTCCATCCCGAGAGTACATCCTGGGAGCCCCAAATCTACACCAGGTTCCCTGAGCCCCTGATGCTTCTCTCTGGAGACTTAGAAAGGTATTGGTCAGCAATGTAGTTTTTATTTAAAAATGAACATCGGAACGGATGCCTCCTCCTGCAAGGAGTTTAACTCTCCTGCAACAGGCCAGGTCCTAGCCAGCAGCCAGGGGGCCATGAAAGGTGGTTCACGGCGTGTAGGTGGTTGATATTGGTGAAGGGAACCCAGACCTGTGCTGCCATGTTGGTGGGACTACTCTTCCAAAGCATTCCCGCACTTCCCTTAAAGGTGGTGGCCAGACCGGCCCAGAGAGCCCTGTCTGTCCCTGAACAGCTGCAGAGGTGTGACTGGTTTATTATTCTTCAGTCCTTAAAGGCAGAGGGCAGCTGCTGGGAGGGTGCAGCCTACAAGGTTCTGGCTGGCAGGTCAGATGGAAAGTTAGCCAGGGAAGGGACCAGGCTCTGTGAACCTTGCCCCTTCATCTGGGGTTCAATGTGAGTGACTTTGAGTGCTTGACACTGATTCTTGAGTATACAGAAAGTCCAACTCCAAGTTTTGACTGAAAAAAAAAATCCAAGTAAAGATCTTTTGCCACACACCAAATGAAAAGTTAAGCAGAGAAGAAAAAAAGTGTGTGTGGGGGGCAGGGGGCGCCCAGGGGGGAGGGCGGGGAGCAAATAAGTTCAATGACATTGAGAATTAAAGAAATCCTTTAATAAGAATTGGCTGAAGGATGTCCAAATGAAGTTCTCTTCACAACATAGGAAGAAAGCATGGAAATACTTTGTTTTCCAGGGATCTCTGTTTCTTCTCTCGCGCGCTCTCTCTCCCTCTTTCTCTCAGGGCCCAAGATGTCCAATGAGTCTACTGTGATCACCAGTGTGATTGAAAGTACAAGAATAGAGAGGCTGCAACTGAAAATACTTTGTTTCCTTCAAAAACTGATGCTACAGACCATTTTGAGAAGTATAATTTAAAATGATGGTTCCACGTGAGTCACATTAAACCTTTGCCTAGCATCTCTCCTGTTCCCCACCGAGGAGCTTATTATGGCTTTGAGCTTATGTTAAGAAGCCACAAAACCTTGAATTAAATGGGGCCACTGCAAGCCCCAAGGCCCAGGCAAGGCCTTTCCTGGGGGTGGGGCTCAGGTAGCCAAAGAGAGAGAAGGTGCCCTGCAGGGCAGTGAAGAGAGTGAAGGAGCCAGCAACATGTGTGTTTGTATTTGTAGGTGAATGTGAGCATGGCAGTGTGAATATTTGTGTGTAAGACAAGGTTGTGAGTTGTTTGCAAGTATTTGTGAGTGTGTGTTTGTGTCTGACAATATGCCTGTGAATTGTTTTTTATGGGTATTTTATGTTTGTGAGTGGGTATTTATGTGTTTGGATATGTGTGTATTGGCGTGTGTGTGTGCCATATTTGTGTGTATTTGTCTGTGTGTGACAGTATATGTGATGTGTGTGTCCCAGACCGCCCAGCCATAGAGGCCCAGCCTTCCAGGGACCATCTGTTTCCAATTAGCAGCATCCCGAGCAGGAGCGGGGAAGGCGCGGCTGACTGGCTTCTGAGAACGGGGTGGGCGCAGCTCCGGCGGCCCTAGTTCTGCCCCATGCAAGCTGAAGCCACCCCTCACCAGCATGCTTCCACCCTGACCTTCCAGCAGTCACACAAAGAGCCCTCTCTCCTGAAGCCAGCCCCAGAGCCTACATCCTCCCCCAGGTCATAAACTTGCCCCTGAGAAGACAGTCAGAAATAGTTTGCCACACTCATGATCATGTGCAAAGGCTAGGATTCCATTTACTATAAGGTTTTCTTTTAGTTTGCTTGAGGAGGGTAGAGGAGGAGCCCTGACCTGGTTTGATCTTGGGCAAAATGGTGTCTCTCGTCAAGGCATACACCTGTACTTTCATTGTGTGCACACAAATATTTTGCTTGCTGTTTTGGGTGTGTGTGCATGCGGGGTGTGTGTGTGTGTGTGTGTGTGTGTGTTACACACGCGTGTGCCCTTTAACCATGCCGATACACTTACAGTCAAACCCAGGCTGCCTGAATGAAAAGTGGAGCCTGTGATCTGGAATGGGACCTTACATCGCTTTGTTAGAATTTCTAATTATCGCTGATATAATTCAAGTGTATAGCTCAGTATTTGGCATGTAATCGACACTTCATATAAATTTGTCAAATTAATAAATCACATTTAGATTCAGAAAATGTTCTAGTGCCGAGAAGAGCATTGTGCGACCTATACTACACCACAAGGAAATGTATGGCTCGGAGACCTCTGGGTAACCCAGGGCCTTGGCATGAATTGTTTCAACAATATTTACTTACTTTGAGATTTCTTCTTCTTCTCAAAAAGCAATAAGCCCCAAACAGAAAATGAAACCGCTGCCCTTCAGTCGATTGCGACCACAGTGCCCCTATGGCCCTATAGCGTGGAAATGCTCTATAGGGTGCCCACGCCTATACTCTTTCTGAAGACCTACTGCCAGGCCTCCTCTGAGTGGATGGTGGATTCAACCCTGTGTATTGGCAGCCAAGGGCTCACTCCCTGCACCACGAGGGTGAGGGTCCATTTCCTCTTCTGATCACCCTCTATTGCCCAAACCATCTGCTGAGGTTGGCATGGTGCTTCAGGTGGGCTTTAAGTACTGCTGGCAGAGATGCCGTGGATGTGCCTCACTTTTGCCCTGAGGGAATTTCCTCCTGGGTTGGTAAAGGGGCTCACCGGCAATGCAAGAGAAGGGGACCCTTTGGGGACCCTCCTGCTGACAAACCAGGTCACCTCCACCTTCTGGCGTTTGACCTGACTCCCGAGGAAAGAGGCCTTGTCACTTCCTTGTGATGATTGGGAGAGTTTTATTTTGGGGGGGGTGGGCCTTGAAGCGGCTTTGCATAATGGGAGAAATCAGGGACCTGGGCTCAGTGCTGTTAAAAGAAAGGCCGCGTTTAATTAGAAAAAGAGAGAGAAACGAATTTGAAGGTCCCACAATTTCTGTTGTCTAACAACACAATTTCAAAAGTCAAATGAATATGTGATCCAATCATAGTCTGGATTTAAGAAAACCATTCAGAAGAGGATTCCACAAGAGGAAAGCATTTCGGACGGCGGGGTCACATCCCGGCTGCTACAAATTCGGGAGGGAGGGGATACCGGTGGGAACACAAGGTTCTGGTTCTGGTCCGCCCAGCCTGGCCCTGCAGAGCAGACGATCTGATCCTTAGGCGTTAGGGTTGTTCCTCATGAGCTCCACGTCAGCATCCACCATCTCCCGGACCAACTCCTGGGGCCAAGGGAAAGGGAGCAGGAGGTGAGGGGGGCTTTTTGCCTTGCTCTGCTCCCAGCCTCCCACTAAGCCCCCCATCTCTGCTCCCGCTGCCCTCCCAAACGTGGACAAGCTTTCTGGTGTATGTGGAGGGGGAGCGCCTGACCCGCTCCACTCCCACGGCCACCAGGACGTCCCCACCCCACCCCCCACCACGAAAGGGAAACTTACATCGAAAGTGACCTGGGGCTGCCAGTGGAGCTTCTGCCGGGCTTTGGAGCAATCCCCTTGCAGAAAGTCCTGGAGAGCGGGTGGGGGTGGGACAAGAGCTGGTCAGCGAAGAAGACAGGCAGGGCCCCGGAGGGCGCCCCCAGCCCCCCAGCCAAGTCCCCTCCCCCGTCGTCTCCCACCGCGGGGCACAGCGGGGCTCCCGAGGAAGCAGGCCCCCAGGCCCGGGCCCTCCGGGGTTCCTGCGCGGCAGCTTTAGCAGCGGCGCTAGAAGCCATAAATCATCGAGGCTGCATTAAGAATACACTGCACAGGCCACTTGAAAATCGTAAAAGCCATCCGTCCCCAGCTCGCTCCCAGCCTCTCTCCTCCACGCCCCTCTCCCCCAGCGCTTTAATGACTGACCCCCTCCCCCCTTTTTTTCCCTGTCTAACATTAAGTTGTCAGGGACGCTACTGTGAGAACTGTTTCAAATTACAGCACTTCTCCGGCAAAAAGAGAAGTAAATAAATCACCAGGCGGGCCTGCCCCTCCCCCGATGGTCAGGCGGCATCTCGGGCGGGCGGGAGTCGGGGTTTGGGCGCAGGCTCCCGAAAGCCAACCCCACGACGCGACACGACTGCGTCTCGGACGGACGGAGAGCGGGCTGCTGGTGCCACCGGCTCGGCTGCGGGGAGACGGCCGCGTCGCTCGGCGGAGGCGCCGACTGCGCCGGCCCCTGGGTGGACGCCGATCCCGGAGGCGGGCCCCCAGCCGGACGGGAAAGGCCCCCCACCGCTCTGCTGCGGGAGCCGCGCCGCCGCCTCCTCGGGGACCCACGGTAAGCGCTGCCCTGGGACACCGACGTCCCCCCAAAATGAAACCAAAGTTCCCCCGCACCACGCTTACAGGTCAAGGGCACTGCGGACGGCCGAGTGGGTCATGGATTCCGTGACCGTCTAGTGAGAGGCGACCAGCAAGACGCGGCTTTTCAAGAATCCCCTGCAGCTGCCCTGCGCTCTCTCATTCCTTCTTCACGCTACACGCGGGAGGAGCTAGGGAAGTTTCTAGCACACTGGAGGCTGGGGCGAGTATTTGCTTTTTATTCACGCTCTTGATCTGCCAGACCAGAGGCGCCTTACCGCGGTATACAAAGGAAGGCCCCTCGCCTGTTGCACCCCACCACGCAGCGCCCCAGAACCCGGTGCACGAGGCTCCGCTCGAGCCGCTCCAGAGCCCTGTTGCGAAGGAGAGAGGGACGGACAGAAAACTACAAGGGAGAACTAACTGACGTGTGCATCTCAGCCCCTACCCGCCCACATCGTGGCTACAGGTTGCTGAAGAGTGACTTCGACGCAAACTGAGATGAGAATTTCAAGATGGGTTACGAAATGGAAGGAAGGAATTAAAGGACGATGGTAGAAATGAAAAAAGAAGAAAAAGACTTTGAGATGGACTATCGATGGGGGTGGGTGGGTGAGAGAAACATTTCGGTTTCCCATATAGAACGGCATGTATCAAAGAGTGGTAAGATATAAGTCCCCAAGACAGAAGGCAGAAAAGGTGGAGAACGTAAGACAGCAGGATGACTTCAAGCCCCCCTGGTGCAAGCCCAATTTGATATAAATCAATAAAACATGAAGATATTCTATTTTGACTGCACACAATATTTAAAGAATCCCCTGGAAGAGTCACACCAAGTGATAATCAAGCTACGGTGGAAAGTCTCCTTTGATGATTTCCTTTGGACTTAGCTGGAGTGGGCAGGCCCAGGCCATTATTACAGATGCATGCTGGGAATGACCAGGCAGGAGCTCTGGGATGGTGCTTCCTCTGCACTATATCCCATCGTGCCCCCTTTATTTTGAAGCCTTTATGCCAAAGGGTGTTTGGATTCTACTTCCGAATGTCTGCACTGCTGGCTTGAAATTCTTACTCTATTAGAGTGCATTCAACTCTTTATTTTCAATTTCCCCATCACTATTTTTTTAAGCTAAAGAAACCATCAACTTTCAAAGGCTTTTCATTTCACAATACACCAAGGTATCCATTTCCTTTCCAAAATATTAATGACAGTAAAACAAGTTATTACTGCTGGCCCCAAACGGTCAAATACAAATTGTTCAGTAAGTCAAATTTAAAAATGAAGAATTACCAAGTTAACACAGTGCTACCTGGAGGGGGCACTTTACACAGAGAACAAAGCCATTTATTTCTCTTTCCTGTCCCTAAAACCTTGTATGCATTTTTGCAATACTTGTACTTTACTATTAGAATCACACAAAGCCAGTTGCTCTGAAGGAGCCGTGAAAGGCGGCATCATTAAGTAACACAGTTCACGGCCTCCTCCCTCCCTCCTTGCCTCTCACACTTACAGGGCTTGAAGAAACATGGCTATTGTTCAATCACATAACACTTGCTGTAAATCAACCGGCAGTTTCATAGGATACAATTCATGGTGCTCAACTTATAGTTAGCAAAACCCTAAAACCTAGTTTGGCTTCAAATGATCTCAGTAGGCTTGGGAAAGGCGCTCTGTATTGTAATTATGCTTCCTGTATTTTCCTACAAGTAGCTCATAATATAAAAACAACCAGGGAGCTACAATTAAGGGAAAAGAAAAATGGTTTTGAAAAGCTTCAGAACAGACATTGCTACCCTATACTGCAAAAAGTATTTCATTGAAACCAGAGACGCATCCAGTTAAACTTCACAATTTCGTTTTCAGCCCAATCCCTACATTCCAGTCTAGCAGCTTACTCTAACCTGCTGCCAAGGCTCTGTCTCCCTGAGATTTAATTAGACCAAGAGACCTTGTGAAGGGGAAGGATGAGGTTCCATGAAGTAAAACGGGACTCTCTCCGGCACTGCTACTGAACCAACATCTAGACCAGTGAACATGCTTGCTCCTAATCAACTGCTCAGGAAAGATTAAGGACATCCCAGATGCTATAGACTTTACTGCTCCTGAGGGAATTACCCACTTCTTCTTGCTGTGTCATTTATATAAAAGCTATAGTAAATGGTTTAGTCTACAAGGTTTTAGGCAAAAGGCATACTTAAGCTTGGCGGGGGTGGGGACAGGAGCTGGGGGAGAGGAGACTGGCGTGGAAGTGGATGTGGTTGTAGCCTGCCTTTATTATACGTGGAATGATAGGAAGGACATAAACACGTTCTGTAAATAAGGCTTCCTCTGCCTGGAAAGAAAATGGATTGTGGAAATTGTATTCTTACAAGGAAGTCAAACACTGCGACTGTCAGACAGTGGGGTCCAGGAGGAGACAATAAGGCCATAAGATACATTCATGGTACAGTTCACACCCTCCCATAAAGGCAGGCCCAGAAGAATTGAATGGATCTGTTGTGCAATTTTCTTTCGCTCTCTATTTTTTTGAGGGGGACAGCCAGTTCCTTCTTTATTTATAGGCTGAAGGTTATATTATGACAACAGGGACAAAAGCTGAATTAAAGCGATGATTTCATGTATAGTTTCCAAAAAGGACTTACTGCACTGGGTGGTCTGGAACGTTACTTAAAAAAAAAAGGGAGACAATAAAGTCCTGAGAAAAATCTGAAGCATTTCTATGCGAATATGACATTTCCTGAGTTCTGGCTTCTGATGTCTTCACTGTTTGCATTACTATTTCTTAGGTGCACGATACAATTTCAGTATGTCATTTATTATTGTCAAATTCAATTAGGTTTAACGGAGCCCTTTACAGCAGCAGAGCTGCGTGAGGCAGGAGAGAAGATATATATGTCCAAAGGCCTGAAGCACTCTCATTTTTCTCTGACTTCCTGACAACTGCTTGTTCATTGGCCCTTAGGAATGGCCCTGTGGGGACATCAGGCTTAAATCCAGTGGTCAGAGTTGCTAATAGCAGGATGGTAGGAGGGCATGTTGTGCCACAGGAATTTCTAAGGCTTTCCTGGCGTAAGTTCTTGTTATAGTGAACTGATAAAGGGGCCAGACCAAATCCTGGAAAAGTCATTAAGCTAGTTTCTGAGCCCACAGTAGTTAACGTGAAGTCCAGAAGACCGGCGACTGTGCCATGTTATTATCTTCTTTCCCAACTGTAGTGGCCTTTCCTCAAATCTCTTGGGTACCTTCTCATCTCCATCAAGTTAACAGCACATCTTTAAGTACCAATCTCATTTTATTTTGATAATTCTTTAACACATCGAATCCCTCTGATTACTACTACTTCCCCTCCCCCTTTGTGACTTCCCCTACCATCTTGGTGTGTGTGCAGGATGCTATTGAAATAGATTGTGTTGTGTAGGATAAGTTTGCACAGTTCACAGTCTCCTTTCTTTCTCTCGCTCCTTCCTTAAGGTTGCCTGGGGGCATTTTTAATGAATATTTATTTCAAGCTATGCTTGGTACCATGTTCTATCCACAGGCCTACTTGTAAGGCTTGCAAAGGGCACCTGGCTTAGTCAGAGCTGCATTTTAAGAGTGTGGGAGCTTTGGGTAGAATGCCGTTAAGTCGGAAGTCTATGGAAAGAAATGGCTCCCGAGTGCTATAAATACGGAGAAGGTATTTATAACAGATAGGTCATGTTAATGAGGAAAATCAAGGCTGAGAAACCTCCAGTTAAAGATCGCCAGGAATTCAAGATACAGAGCTATGAGTGGCACTCCATAGCCATTTTTTTCCCTTCTACTTTTCTTAGAAAAGCAAAACTGCGGAGTAGCTCAGGTACCAAGGGAATAAGGCAATGCCCGGGAACTTGGTGCTTGGCCTACCTCTGCATCAGCGTGGTGTGATCAGGGTTAGCACGTCTTTTCAGAAACAGATGCTTAAAACCACCACCACCACCACAACAAAATACTTGACAAAATTAAAAAAAAAAGCTTTCAAGTTACACAGATTATCTCAGTCAAGATTCAGGCCGTGCAGCTAGTGGTTATAAGAATGGGGTGGGGGGGCAGGGGGGGATAGGTGTGTGTGTGGAATCAAACAAAAACTCAAATCAAACCAACCAAATAAATGAAGCTGGAAAGTCTCTGAAAGCTTGCAAGCGCATCTCTCTACTCAGATGCCATTGAAACTCTGCCTTTTCACAAATGTGTTCTTTGACTGACTCCT